CAGCACAAGCCAAGTCAAGTCAAGTAAATGCTATGGCGCATAAGACAAACTCAAATCGATCCGCCTCACAAGAGAAGAATTGCTACTGACAAAGGATTGCACGTTCGCTGCTGAAGCGCCTTCCAAGTTCGAGTTGAGCAAGTGCATCTCATTCAATGCGACACATGCACCGGACATCACCGGACAGTAGATCACATTCAACATTGGCGCTGCCCTGGGCAACTCCGTTGGTGGCCAACACGTCAGGCTGAATGAGTTCGGCTGAACTGCACGAAGATCTTATCTGAGTGAAGCTTCTTGCGAAACTTGCTGCCACTTCCTCCTTCCCAACAGCGCGCAACATAGTTTGCAAGAACCTCATCTTGAGGCAATCAAGGCACCCTTCCACTCTCTGCAAGATGTGGCCTGGCTTGGCAGGGTTGTGACCCCAATCAATTTGAGGCTCTTATGTTTGTGTCGGACGTCCTGTCGCGCCTGCTTGCGCCAGTGTCTCTCCGTAAAGTTCCAAAGGGTTGTGTTTATCTAGGATCACCAAGGGTCGGGATGAAGCTGAGGACACTCTGGCAACTGAGCTTTCTGTTGCTTCTAAGTCCGGTTCTTCCACCTCCCTGATGTGCTCTGCAGATGCGTCGGAGTTGATATCCTCTACCAGCTGATCCGGGCCGGTTCAAGAACTTCTGGCTGCCCGCCCGGCTAAAAGACTCAAGTTCCTTCGGCTGCTCTGGTTGGTCAGGCTATAGGCAACAACTGCCACGGAGCCATGATTTCCGCTTACCGCGTCTCCAATCCGCCACGGATGTCCCTCCGCCGAGCCAGTAGAAGTTTCCCACCGTGATCACATCGTACTCGTCGCCCTCAGGAGTTGCCTCCTCTTTCCGACGTAGATGCTCTATCTGAGACGGCCGGCTGGAATTGCCTGACCTCTTGCTCCTGTAGGTCTTGTACATGTACCACCGTACAGCCTGGAGCTGCATGGCTGATAACCTGCTGACTCCTCAAGAAATCCAGGTCAAGTGTGATTGCAACATAACAAAAGGATACCAGATGTCGATCTCGATCAAGCACAGTAGTATACAAGCACAAGCCAAGTCAAGTCAAGTAAATGCTATGGCGCACGAGACAAACCCAAATCTATCCCTCCAAAAGATAAGAATTGCAACAGTCAAACACCCACCGGATTCGACCCGACTTGGGGAGCGCGCTTTTTCTTGAGAGGTATTCTCCTATGGGACCCCTATGTCTTGCCGATTCCCATTAGTGTCATAAGCAAAGTTATGATGCAATGCCCGCAAAACTTGTTGCCACTACTGCAAGTATGCATTTGTGACAAAGGAGTGCGGATATTTCCACTCATGCGGCACAAACTCGCCGAAAGATGAGAAATAACTGGGCATTCAGCGCAACTTTGGATGAACTTAGGCGGACGTCGTTGAATTTGAAGTCGCAGGCCCGAAGAACAGGACAAAACGGGAGCGAAACCCGGCGGAACACACACTCCCTGCGCCTCTGGACCGTCCTGTGGGGAGACTTCGCTGGAGTCCTCCTGCCGTTTGGGCGCCCGACGGTTTTGTGGTTGGCTTAAGGAAAGCCAAAGGGAAACCACCCCTTTTATTTGTATGACTTTCCTTGGTTCTCTTGACTCCCACGCCAACTTTCGGGATGCGATATTTGGAGTGACGAAACGGCTTTAGTTGGGACCCTCAGTTGGTTGATTCTTGGGCCCCCCCTTCAGGCATCACCCCAAGCAAGTGGGTTGCAAGCCTTAGGCAACGATACGAGCCCGGTGACTCACACTGCAAATAGTGGTACAGTGCACATTGTGAATAGCCTCCCTCGCAACAAACACCCTCTCATCGGCATGGAAGGAAAACACTCCATCACCCACCTTTCCCATCCCTTCCGCAAAAGCATTTGCTGGCACTCACGCCGCGCGGCCTGATCCCCGAGCAGAGCACGGTACACATTGGCCTCGCAAGAAGCTGGAGACTGGACATTGAGGTACCACCCTTGATTGGGGTTGTGTAACCAGCTAAACAACTACAAACGTGACTGTTCCTATGATCATGAGGCAATTTGCTCAAAACTACCACACTACCCCAGGTTTCCATTGGAAATGGGACCCGGTTAAAGCTTTCACAAAGTGACCTGTTTTCGAGGTCACCGCTACAGGCAGCACAACATGTCACTAAAATGGGTCCTTCAAAGGGCTATCGTTCACAATCCAACAAGGATATCACCAGAAATGTTCAGAGCGAAGGGGCCTTCTGTCTTTCGGGATGGCCTGCGCCTGACTCACGAGCGGCTACCAATGATATCAATGGAGGATGCCCAAAAGGCAAAGCGGCCAAGGGTGGTCCAAAATGGAACTCCTTACGTTTGCAAAATTAGCTACATACACTCAGCCTAGAGCCACCCTTTCTGAAAAGGGTGCAAGCCTCCCTAAACAGAAGCACGGAAGCAAGGCGAACAAGCCCAAACGGCTGGACCTAGCCTGCAAATCACGGGCACAAAACCCAGTCCAACCTTAGCCTGCTTTCACAAAGCAACCGACCGTTGACATGTAGCCTTCAACGGCGTGCAGAAGGTGATGCTGGTTTTGACAACCCGACATGCTGTGAAACTGTTTCTCCGACTCACAACACAAAGAACAACAGAAAAAGAACATTAAGAAGAAAAACAAGTCCCCGCTGGCTGATGTTGGCTGCACTTGCGCACAATGGATGCGGCAGACGAAGATGTTGCCAAGGAAAGAGCATTGTGCGGCTGGTGCTTGGAAAGGGCGAGGGACCGATCTTTAGAACAGGTTCCTGCAAGTGGCTGTTCAGGTCATAATGGATCGACTCACTGCAAGCAACCACGCGGAACGCACTCCAAAACCCAAGCAGGTTTGGTGGTTGCTTGTGGACCTCCTTTTGAGTCTGATCTTGTGTTGGCCCCATACCCATGCCTTCCCCAACGAGAAGCAAAAACCTGACGGGAGGCATGGAGTGGACCAAGCTTGGGCGCCGGCACGCATCTGGGCCCGGATCTGATCTAGGGCCTGGGACAGAGGGCGTCGTGTGGTGCAGAGCAACTGGAAAACTTTCTGGATCGCGCTGAATCTGTGAAGAATCTACACTAATCATCTGCAAACACCTTATGCACTCTGAGAGCTATCAAGAGGCCGCCGGAAACAAAAAAGAACCACCTGCTCCCTCAGTAGAATGAAGCTTTTTATCTTGTCCCAGCAGCATCTGAAGCAAGGAGCAGATGTTCATCCCAGTTTCACCCAGCTAGACGGAGCCCCAACTTGCTCGAACTAGGTGCGACGTTGGCGAGGGAGCTTGACAACTTGGGTCACGAGCTTTAAGCAGGACCCACGTCAAGTTCTTGCATAGAACTAGGCTGCGGTCAACCCCCTTCTAAACTTCTAAAACATGTTGAAAGCAGAAAGCAGGACCCCCTTTCAGCTTTCATTTTGTAGGGGTCAATGGCCGGGGTGGTTCAACCCTTTTGCTGTTCGCGCCAACGGCCAACACCTCCCCACCCCTTCTTGCCCGAAACGCATGGGGAGGTGTGGCATCAAGCGGTCGATTTCCGTGAAGGAGCTTTGTTGGTGATTCCTTTTGGCTAGGAACCCCTCCTATTTGTACTCGTGTCTTCCTTGAACTCCAAAGCGGGCATGCAAGCCAAATGAGCAGACCCTGAAGGAACCACTCGGAAGATGCAAGTGGGCCTCAAAACTCCTAACTCGGAAAACTCCGCAAAAACAAATGTGGCAGAAACAAACCCTTTTCGTTGGGCCCTACAAGGCTCTACAATCGTCCCTGGATTTGGGCACACGTGACAATTCAGCTTGTGCTTTTCGTTTAGCATTCCCGCGGGGGCAGCTCCTTCACAATCGGACCGAGCGGCGCCATTGGCTTCTAGTCTGTGCGCCACATCGCCCTGGCGCGAAACCGTCCGGGGCGAGGGAGGGGGTGGCCCTTGGGCTGGTCCTTTTGGACAAGACAGAATATGATCAGAATATGCATGGTTCTATGCATAGTGGTTCCTGTCCTTTTCAGAGCTGGATGACCCGAACCAAACAAAAACCAGCGCCATCGCTGGCCAATTTGCGCCCACGCCGACGCCACGTCTGCACGCTTGCAAGACTCTCTGTCACAGAGGTAGTTTCACCCCCCAGAAAATGTCAGCACTTCAGAGGCACACCTGGAGAGATCATGCAAGAAAATGAAGAGCCGGCCGAATTCCAGCTAAGATCCGTTGCTTACTTCAAACTTGCTAGTGTGTTTAGAGGAAAAGCAAAAGCAAGGAGGGTTGTGTCAAAGCTCGGGGCTAAGCCAAATGCTTGGTTTACGTCTGCCGTTATGTTGAACCATCCAAAAAAAAAGATGCCCCACTTCCACATGAGCAATCGAACCACTGCTGTTCCGCGCCTTGATCTCTAACATGTTCTGGCCGGGATTCTGCGCCATCCTGGCAAAAGCTAAAGGTCCTGGCTCCACACAAATACGGGGCCTCGCTTTGGTATGAAATTCAGTGGGGGATCCTTGGTTGGACTTCACTGGTGGGCTTTGGATGTGTGAGCTGTGCCATATTTCTACCAGTGTTGGATGGGAAACCACACCGTTGCGAGATCATTTCCCAAAGCCCATTCTCAGCACCCCAGGTTGCCGATTTGACGACGTAGACAAGAAACTCCCATTCTCATGCAAAGTCCCATCTCCAACTTGGGATGTGAAAGATGTGAAACGTCACTCCACTCCCCCATCAACACTGCAGGCAGCGTTCTGCGAGTCGCTCACTTTTCGTGGATTGCGCCAGTGCCTGTCAGGGCCCAATGGCCCACACATCCAGTCCGGAGGGTAGATTCTCATCCCCCCGGACGCACTTCTCTCCCCTGCTTGCAGGTCGGTGGCGGGGCGGTGGTGGAGCCAAATCAAGCTCGGGCCTGAACGTTACATGACGTTGCATGTTTGGACGGTGCCCTTCACATTCCACGTCACTCCACTCCCCCATCAACACTGCAGGCAGCGTTCTGCGAGTCGCTCACTTTTCGTGGATTGCGCCAGTGCCTGTCAGGGCCCAATGGCCCACATCCAGTCCGGAGGGTAGATTCTCATCCCCCCGGACGCACTTCTCTCCCTACCCGAAGGGGGAGTGCGGATGGGGGGTCCACCCGCACATGACCCGGGATTCGAACGCCCACCTAGAGGGAGGGCCAACTTTTGTTTTTTTTTGCTTCCCGCGCCTGCATCACCAGGCACCTGGTCTCCCCTTTCCTCCTCTTCTTCACCTGGTCCTCCGCCTTCTTCTCGGACCAGGCGATCGTCTTGCGCTCCTTGGAGCTCTTCACCAGGCGGATCTCGCTGTCCATCTTCTGGGCTTCCCCCATGAGCTGATCGAGGACCTCGAACTTGAAGTCCTCGAACCGAACGTTTATGTGCTTGCCCGGATCGAACCCTTCAAAGGCCGAATTCGTCAAGGCATCCGCTTCGATGTTCTGCTCACGGGGAATCCAGCGCAGCATCATGTCGACCTCCAGCTTTTCCAATTGCACGGACAGTTCCATCAAGATGACCGACAACGGGAAAGAGCAGCTCATGTACTTGTCCAGGACGTACATCGACACCGCGCTGTCTGTGAAGCCCGATAGCACTCCGTGTACGCCGGCCTCTCTCAGCCCACCGTCCCTGCCGAAGATCATGGTGGCCAAGAGCACCGCCGTGAGCTCAAGAGAGGCGATGGCCCTGAACGGCTCGCCCTTGGCGTAGGCCCACAGTGCATTCTCGCGGTTGAGGCGGACCGAGAACCATCTGGCAGTCGAAGTGGGCCCCTTCCACGACTCCCAGCCGCCCAGCACGATCTCCTGCCCCTCGGCCTTGGCATCGATACGGAAGAAGTCGACTCGCCACCGGGACGTGAGAGACCGGCCTGAACCTTCGCCTTTGCACTTCCATCTTGATCAGCTGCAGGACCAAGGCCACCGCAGATGGCAGAGAGGCAAAGGTCCCCATAGCCAACACCGCTGCCCAAGCGAAGAGGACGCCCAAGAATGGGCGCACGTGCGACAGGGCCCCTGCCACAAAGGTCAAGCGCCCCAAGGCGGACTTCAGGTCCCTTCCAACCACACCTCCTTCCGCTTGGCGCTTCTCCACCCAGGCAACTATCCACTCCTGCTTCTTGAGGCTGATGCCCTTCACAAAGTTCTTGACGTCCAGCTCGTAACCGATCCACTGGACCACCACGCCTCCTTTAACCTTCTTCCACGTCAGTGGCAACTCCGCATAGAGGAGGTGGTAGAGGCTAAGCTCCATGGTCGCCAGCCGGTGCGTCAGCCTCACCACAGAGGCGGCCAGCCTCTGCCACCAGTAGGCCGCCGACCAATGCCGAAGGTGCCCCTGGTGTGCACATAGATGTCGCTGGAGCCATCGAGCCGAAAAGCTTGCAGTCCCCAGTCCCGCTTGACAATGGGAACCAATCTGTGTGCGCGTGCCACGTCATAGGTCAGGGAGAAGCGAACGTCCCGACCTTCGGAGGTGTCTTCTTTGACGCCCCTCAGGACCGCATCAGCGTCGTCCAGCAGTGGGAAGCGAACTCGGTCACGCACCCGTATGCGCCGGCTGATGTCGACCGAGTAGCTACCGTCGTGCACCAGCCGGACTTTCTCAGACCCGAGTTCTTTTGGTACAGCCCCTAGGGCCGCCACTGCCAGCCTCCCGCTGAACTCCTTCCCCGCCTCCGACTGCGACATTCGCAAGATCATCCCTTTCTCCATCTCCGACTCCACCTGATGCCGGATCTGCTCCATGGAGAGCTTGGCCGATCGTAGTTCTCCGCGATCTGCTCCTCCAGCTCAGCGTCCACCGCCTCCAGGGGCCATTTGGTCTTCTCCTCGAAGACCGCCGGCACCCTGGGGAGCTCCGTGTCCACATCTCGACGCCACCAGCCGCCATCTCCAGGAGGTAGTCCCGGCCCACGTCGTCGATGCAGACCAAGGCCGCGTGCAACCTTCTGAAGTTCACCTCGCAAACCCGGTCGCTTTCTTTCCTGCCAGGATCGCAACCCTTCGCCTCCAGGAAGCTGTCAAGCTTCTTCCTGGCCAGAGGGAGAGATCTGGAGAAGGGGGACTCCAAGTATCTCCCTGCGGCCAACTTCCAGAAGCAACCAACGTGACCTTTGGGATCATTTCGTTCCATGTCCTTCAACGCTTCGTAGAAGAGCTCCATCACCTTGGCCCGCAGCTGGCTGCCTGATGGCGGCAGGTCCTCCAGGCGGTCTTTCCTTCGCCAACGACCCGACGAGTTGAGGCCCCCGCCATCGTTAACCGGCCTGCTCTTGCCCTTGTAGTAGGCCACCCAGGCCTTTGCCCGCCGGGAGCACTCGCGATTTAGGAGGTGCTGCCACTCCCCCTGGAATCGCTTCCCCGACGCCCTTCTTCTCCTTCACATCGTTGCCGACGGCCTCCTTGGCCATGCCCTCGTTCCGAACCATGCCCTCGTTGGTCTCCATGGCCTTGCCCTCGTTCCGAACCTTGGCCGCGCCCTCGTTCCGAACCATGCCCTCGCTGGCCTCCATGGCCGTGCCCTCGTTCCGAATCATGCCCGCCTGCAGCACATTGCCCAACCGACAGGAAGCTGTGGGCGGGCAGAACTTCTGCCAAGCCCCAAGCACGGCGGTGGCTATGCCTTGATCCATCTTCTCAGGGTAGCAAGCCGTGCCGGTGGTCTTGAAGGCTGTGTCTAGGGGCTTCTTCACCAGTTGCACGTGGGATTTGCAACCGCAGTGTTGCAAAAGTGGGCCCTCGTAGAAGCCCTGCATATCCATACTGGGCCATTCCTTGGGCCCCCCGGTGCTGGATGTCTGGAAGATTGGTGAGCAACCTGGTTGGTTTGCGATACGGTGCACCGAAGCTGCATTGGTTGAAGACCACCGTGAAGAAAGGGGGGTTGCCGCGACCCGCCAGGGAGCGCAGCTCGCTCAACTGCCATATGCTAGGAGCAGTCCACAATGGTCTGTAGCATTTGGCAGGTGAAGCGCGCGAGCTCGTTGCCAATCTGCACCTCCTGAGATCTGCGGCTTGAAAACCACGGAAAGCCCCAAAAATGTTGTGCGTCTCGCACAGGAGGAGGCCCGTTCTTGTTTGCACCCCGCACCCGCGAGAATGTACTGCCACCTGCGGGATCTGATCCCCTCCAAGAGGCTCTTCTGCAAACTGGTGTTGGTGCGGTCATGAGACTCACAGCGTTCGATGTCGACCTCCTCGGCGTGGAAGCTGATGCCCTTGGCGCACATGCTTTTGAGCTGCTCCACCACTGAGGACTTCCTGGCTGCACCTGCAAACAAGTACAGCAACTTCAACTGTGGCCCATGAGCCTGCTTTGTGCCCTGTGCTGTTGCAACCTCCCGGGGCACGACGAGAGGCTGCCCCCTTCACGCTGACTTGTCTTGTGCCGGACCCTCTCCGGCTGTATCCTTGGCCTTCTTGCAGGCGTGAGCCGGATGGCTCCCGAAGCAAATCTGGCAGGCGTGCACTCGCCCACAGTCAAAGCGGCACCTGGATCCTTGATTGTTCCACTTGAAACAGATCTCGCGGCCGTCCGGGGTCTTGTCGTGGAGGCCCCGCTTCCCTTTGCTCTTGCCTTTGGACTTGTTCTTTCCGCCTTTGGCCGGGGTCGACTCCTTCCAAGCCCTTGGTGGATGCTCGCGGCCTCGCGACCGTGACCTGGTTTTGACGTGACCCGGCACGTGCAGGGCCTCATAGGCGCATGGCGTCAAGAAGTAACGCTCCTTGATGGCGGTGTCCACCATGGCCGCCTCCAGAGCCTGAACCAGAGGGGTTCCGCTGTTGAGCTTCTTGACCATTTCTTTCCGGATGTTGAACTCGTAACTCAGCAGCAAGCGGAAGGTCGGTTGCGCCACCACTATGCCTTCCGAGTCCTTTGCCTTGAGATTGTAGACGTGCTCGCCAAGCAGCAGGTCTGCATAGCGTTGAAAATGCACCGGGGTTGCACCTTGCAGCACCTTCTGATGAGGATAGCGAATCTGGCACAAGATGAATGTGTGCGCGACCAGACGTAGCCGGGACCGCAGCTCCTCCGAGTTCTTGGGCTTTGCGATCTCCAGAGCGCCTCGTTTGATCTTGATGGCCCCCGTCGCCCTGTCGATGGTGGCGCCCATGAGCTCCTGCTCCGCGTCATCCTTGCACAAGTACTGGGAGAGGGAGAGGACCTTGTACTCGCCAGACTCAATCTGGTCGAACTGAAGCTCCAAGGTGCTGACCGAGGGCATCTGACGGTCGTCGATAGCACACAGGCTTTGCTCAAACTTGGCCCTCAGGTCCTGCACCTCGGTCTTGGGAGCTGCCCGTGGTATCTGGTTGAGCAGCGCCTCCGCATCCGCCTTATGCCTGGCCTCTGTTCGAGACCGGCAAGACTCCCAGGTGTCCACCATGGCCGCCACCTTCACGATGTTCTCTGGCACGCGGGCAGGATCCAAGCTCAAAGATGCTTGGGTGAACTCTCTCAGGGTCTCCCTGGAGTCGGCCACTGCCGAGAACAGACTGATGGTCTTGATGCCCAGCAGGGCCAGCTTTGCCTTCAAGATCTTCTCCACCTCCTTCACATCAAGGAGGCCCGCGAAGTCGGGGTCCAGCTTAGAGATCAGCTCATCCTGCCGAGCTTCATCGTCAATGCCGGCCATGGCACTAGCACCTGAGGGGTAGGCTGATCTAGTGCCAACCGTCCGACCTGTTGCCAGGGTTTGGCTTCCACTTCTCGCAGAACCTTAAAAGCCAAACATTGCAACACAAAGAGAGTTCAGGAACAACACACACAGGGTCCCTCCAACGAACAGGGGGGGGGGACCTTAACCCGGACTTATCTCATGCTGGCAAACTTGCCACCATGTTACTAATGCCGAGCATGTGCACTTCACTCAAACCCTCGCCAGCTCTCGGCCAACGAGATCGCACAACATCCATCTTTTCTCTGGGAGCAGACATGTTTGCAGAGACTGAGTTACGAGACGGCCTCCTCGGAGACGACGTCCGAGGAGCTGCTGGAATCTGCCTCGCTTCCCGAGCTTTGATTCTGCACAACTATGCCCGGGAAGCAGATCTTGCATGCCCTGTGATACTCGCTCGGGGGAGGCAAATCCTAAAGTGCGATAGTGCCCTCCTGGAACTCGGTGACACTTGCCCAGCCTATGCAAGGTCCTCACTTTGGACCGCCCGACGATGCTCACGTAGTAGCAGGCTGTTTTCTTTCCCAGCTCAACCACCTCTTCTTCATCCGTAGGCTCGGCCTTCTCGGGCGACCCGAGGGGGGGGTAGGCCTTCTCGCTGCCGCTGGAGTCCACACAACTAGTGGCCTCGTCGGAGCCATCGATCACCACGCTGACCATGTCATCCGCCAACTTGGCCCGCTTGCTTGAAGACTCCGCGTCCGACTCCACATGCGGCTTGAACGACCTTAGCCTCTGCAGGATGCTGGCCCTCCGGTCGAGATCCACCCCCTCCTCGCCCATCCGGTTCTCGATCTTCTGCAGGAGGGACTCCTCGTCGAAGGGGTCCACGCGGCCCTTGTTCACCTTGACAAAGGCCGCTATCTTGCGCTGCGCCTGCTCCACCTGGGTCCGAGTGGTGCGCTCATAGTCCTCGTCAACTGATGCCTTCCACCGACCAAGCTTCTTCTTGACCTCCGCGTCGATGCCAGCCACCGCCGCCCACGATCTAGCCGTGGCCCTCTCGCTACGCTCGGTCCATAGTGCACCTGCTCCTTCGTGCAAGAGTTTCTCGCCCTTGAGATCCCGGAGAAGATGGCCTGCGTCATGCCGGTGTAGCGTGCCACCCTGTTCACGATGCCCCCCAAGTCCTTCGTCGGCAACGCCAAGAAGTAGTCACGCTCTTCCAGGCCGGCCTTCTCCGCCATCCACATACACACTGATCCTTGTGACGGCCTTGCCCGGACCAGTGGTCTTGCTCTGCGTGATGTCCGCCACCAGGCCCTTGGCCGTGAGCCTCATGCTCGACACCTCGATCCCCTGGGTGTCATTGAACCTCATGCCGCCCCAGAGCTTCAAGAGCTTGTACCAAGCGTAACCTCTCACGTACCTGGGCAGATCCATGTCCACCACGGCCCGCTCCAGGGCCTCCACCACACACACCAGGAACATGGTGCTTGCTTGCGCCCCGTTGTTACCCTTCTGTCCAGGTAGAGGACCAGCTCCTCCATGCAATTCACCAAGGCCGGGTGCTTGGAGATCCTCTGATCCACCGGGATCTCCGCAGCGATCTCCATGAACATGAGGGTCTTGAGGAGGCTACCTGGCACTGATTTCCCACAAGGTTCTGCTGCTCGCACCTCCAGGTACCCCACGAAGTGAGAAGGCTGCACAGGCCACATCAAGCCGTAGGCTCCATGAAGCCATACAATGTAGCGCTCCCAAGTCCTGACGTGCTTCCTCAAAGTCGAGGCACGGCGCCCCTTACCTATCCTCTTGGACTTGGCCAGCTCCTCTGAATTCCCGAAGTCCAACGCCACCGGAGCGCCCGCCTTGAAGAGCCCGCAAGCCAAGGCCTTCAACCACCGGGCTCTTTCAGACTCCTCCGCCAATTCCCTGGCCCGAGGATCATCGCCTGCGGCCCCCGCCAGCTTCTGCAACCTGGTGGGCCACTTGGCCAACTTTGCAGCTCCAGGGGGAGGCACAACTCTGGCTCTCTCCCGATCCAGCATGTCGTGGAACTGCACGTGCCCCATCCGAGACTTCTGCTTGAGCCACACTGCCATCAGCTCCGAGTTCCCCCTGGAGCCCTCCAACCGCCAGGCCAGCTTCGCCGACTTGTCCGCCTCCATGATGAGCTCCTTCAGCTCGAGAGCCGTCACCACATGGAGCTCCTTGACCTGGCGCATCACCGCGAGGAGAACCTCCTCGTCCATGCCCTGCAGCGTGGCCAGCCTCGACGTCGTCCACCCGCACTTGACCAATGCGGCCGCCAAAGCGGTAGAGCGCCCCGTCAAGGTGGCCAGCTGCACAAGCCCCTCCATGGCGTGCTCCATCTACAGCCAAATCAAGCTCGGGCCTGAACGTTACATGACGTTGCATGTTTGGACGGTGCCCTTTCCTACACATTCCACAACTCTTTAATTCACCCGAGAAAACGCCTGTATGTCTCTGCGGAAAGCTGCAGTTCTGAATCACCTTTTTTCAATGGAAAACAAAAACTATACCCAGTAGTTTTGTTTGTTTGCGACACCGCGGGCCCCAAAGTGCCCTCTTTTTCGTTCCCTGGCTCCGCGCCTGGGCACCGGGGCGGTCCCAGCTATCCCCCCGCTATCCCCCCGCTATCGCCTCTTGGCCTCTGCACTCTGTACAAGCTGCGTCTGAGCAGCCACCAGAGGCTTTGAGCCTTCGGCACATGGCCCCAAGCTATGGTCTCTGTCAACTCCAAGGCGGGATTCCCTTCAGCAACACCTGAAAAAGAGCAGCCTCCCAAACATTTTGACCCCCCGCACCAATTTGTTTGGCTCCCAAGACCATGAGGTGGAGAATCAAGAAACGGGTTGTGAAGGCAGAAAAAAGCACGGGTGCCCAACTTCTGACCAGTCACAAGCTGTTTGTTAACAAGTTTTGCTATGAAATACGCGGAGGCCCAAGCGGCTGCGAAAGCAGGTCCCAACATGTGACAACCTGAAATGGGTGCTCCACCCGCAGGTCGGCCCTTACTGGGAACCCTAACTGGGGAAAGGAGACTGTTGTCACTGAAGAGGATTTCTCTACCAGGGAAAGTTTGGCGCCCTCTTTCGGTTTGGACATGTGTAGAAACGGCTGGCAAAACGGGCAACATGGTTTGTCCTCTCAACCCCCACAAATAGCCGCGGCCCTCGCAGTACAACGGACTCCTTTTGCGCCCCTAAGTCATTCCCGACTTCCGAATTGCAGCGGTTCTGCTCCCCATGGGGCGTCGAAGAGTTCTTTATCACAGCGCCCGAAGACTCTTTGGCAGTCTGCAGAAAACGGATAAACAACAGCTGCCGACGCCCCAAGCAGACATCACTGTTCCCAGCTTTTGCATGCCTATCTTGCTCAGCGCGGCGCTTGTCGTTTTGGCATTGACACGTGTTCTGGAAACTCGTGTCACTGAGCAAACAATGCCTACATGGCCGCATGTGTGAGCACGTACAAGCAACCTGCAAACGCCACTGCCAACCTTTGCCGCTAATGCTGACCCCGGATTACATCACTAAACCTGGCAGATCCATTCTTTTATGGGTTGTTATTTCTCAACTGGGGCAAGACTGCGTTCATCAACCAGGGCCTTATCTGTCCTGGGTCAACATTATCCTAGAGCACGTGTGCTGCAACTGCCAGGCGTCACCAGCCATCGATTTCGAGCAACAGCGCCTGCGTCAGGCAAGGATGCAAACAGCTCCAATGCCTACAGGCGGTTCCCCCAGCAACAAAATGTGTCCCATCAACAGATTGGTATCATGTGAAAACCCTGACTTCCGCGGTATTAATGCATTTCCAAAACAACCATGTCCCATGTATACAAGGAACACGTATCATGGGAGGTGTCTTCTTGGGACATCGGCAACAAGCAGGCAAACTTCAAACAGGACACTTACAGTCTGGCGCCAAGCCAAATGCGACAAGAACCCGTTGCTTTTCTTCCACAAGAAGCAAGGGTTCACACCCAACCCCTTGAAGGAGTGCATAGCGAGGATGACTCGCACAAAAAACAGGTGCGGTTGGTCATTTGCCAAGCTCCCTCGGGAGTTCTGTTGCTTCCCAAGTGAATCATCCTTCCTTCAGCATGGCTGGCAATCTGCACAGCAAAACGCCGACGGGAAATTTATAAATCGGGGAACGTCAGGAATGGATGTGTCATGGCGCTTTTCATGGGTTCAAAAGGAACACCATTTTGGGCATCCTCCTATTCACAGAAAGCGCAAGGAAGGAAAAACGTGGCAGAGCTTCATGCACCACGTGCTGTGTTCATTGCATTCTGCAAACCAAACAAACGGCATCAAGGCACAGTTCATCGTTGTATCTGGCCATTTCTTGTGGGCTCAAATTTGTCAGCAAACCTCAAGGCCGCTCTACATCCCTTGCTGGTAGTGGGCATCCTCTGACGACAGAGGGGCGAACTGAAAATGAAAGTCGACAATGTCCAAGTCTCTCCAAAGGCATAGCTCTCCCATCCACCATCCCGTTTACCCGAACAAAACGACCAAACATGTGTCTATTGGCCCTTGAATCCCCTTCAAAACCAGCAACGAGAAAAAGCAGCCCGCTTACCTCCTGGAGGTGTTGGGGATCTTCCTCCCGTCGCCCCCACTCGCTTTGAAGTTTTTGCCCTGGATTTCGCCGTCGCTTCCGTGCTTCATTGGCGCCTTTCGCGACTGTGCGGGTCAAAAGAGCAGTGCAGCCAAAACGCCGCTTGATCAGAATGGAGGAGCAGCCAATTGGAGACATCCCAGTCTCCAACTGGTGTGCACCAGTGTATGGGCCTGAGGTGGCAAGTCGCACACAAGAGGTTGCAAGTATTTCGAGGGTCTGGACCCCCATCCCCGAGGCTTCTCCAGGGGACCATGCCTTCTCAATTCTTGGAACCGCTCTAAAGGGCGCTACACCCAGACATAAATTTACTTGATGATTGCTTTCCCAGCTGTCCCCCCCTCACACGAAGGTTCAACGCGCTGAGTACTCTTTCTCTTTAGGCGCTGTTTCACAAGCAATCTGGGCCCCTGGGACTGGAAATGGAACCCTGTTTTTTTCCCTGTGGTCAAAAACCAGCTAGGATCCCCAAGAAATCAAACAGGGGATCCGATCAGGGCGACGCAGAACCGGCTTGGGGGAACCGCCCGAAAAAAAAAAAAAAAAAAAAATAAAAAAAAAAAACTGAGAAGGCACGATACCCCGGGGAAAAGCCGATGTGCGTTTTTACTGTAAGGTACCTCATTTTTGGCCATAGGCTTTTCCCAAGTGGACAGTGCCTTCTCAACTTTGTATATTTTTTAAAAAATAAAAATAACAATGAGCGAGCACGCAGAGGTTGGGGGAGCACGCAAACCCGGAGAAGGCCCGCAAAACCGGAGAAGGCCCGCAAAACCGGAGAAGGCCCGCAAAATCCGGAGAAGGCCCGGAAAAAATATGAGTCTGTTTTGTTTGGCGATGTGTGACGTGCAAATCCGCATCCATGGCTGCTGGTGATGCCTGTGCTGCTGCTGATGCTGGTTATGCCTTTGATGCTGGTGATGCCTCTGAACTGGTAATGCCTAAAAGTATCAGGCCAGAGCCAAGGCTGACAAACCAACATGCCAGCCCTTGAGAAGGCACGCTTATCTGGGGGAACCCGCAAAATCCAGAGGACGCGTGTCCAGACTTCCGAGTATTGCAAAACTCGCACACAAGAGGTTCATGGCAAGTCGTGAACCACCATTTGTCAGAATTGGCAAGCTGCTCCGCGCTCATATATGCAGTCAGCTTGCACCCAGTATGCATGGGAAGGAATTGCCAGATCATGTTGGCCCCTATAGTGCGCGCCTCAAACGTGATATCAGTCATCAAACAAGATCCCAGTTTGAGTCAGTCTACAAAAGCCTAAACAATCAGAATGGGGTCATGGTGTAACTCAACACCAATGACTGTTGGAGTAAACTAGTGAGTAGCTGGCCCTTTAGATCACTCAACCCTTCCGCATCTCGCATCTTTCCATGCTATCGATCCGCTTGCTCACAGGCCGAGCACGCGCTTGGAGTTCTCAAGAAGCGTGGCCAGGACGATGATCACACCTTCCTCAGCTCGGATGTTTGTTTGCGGTTACCCTCCACTGTCTTGTTTTCCCCAACAGCTGAAAGCTTTGTGGTCTCAGCCCAGATAGGCTCCGGGGTGGTCCGGGGCGACCCTGAGGTAAGGTTCCACGAGGGTCCACGAGGGTCCACCAGGGTCCACGAGGTTCTGCGAGGGCTGCGGGGTGGTGCGAGCACTAAAAAGAGCACGGCATGCTGTTGGGGATATCACGTGAGCCTATTGAGGGGACCCTTTTCGGACTGGTTCGCAGAAGTCAGATTGTTTGTTGAGGGAGGACCCTGAAATCAGGTTCGTAAGGGCGGGGGTCCGCATACTTTGACACATGCCCTCTATGGGCCTGGGTAAATCTGGGCTTGTCCCCTGTTCGGGGGAAACTTGCAGAGCCAAATGTGACAATAAGCTGACCTGACCGAATCCACGATGTAACAACTGAGGGCCTCCAACAGCTTTTACTCCATGTTTCCAGGGTTATGACGGTTTCCCGGTTTATTTTCGGGGCCGCCACCCCATCAAATGGAAACTCAACCAAAATTGGCCCAAACGGAGATTGATCAACCTCACAAAAAGGGACACCTAAGGACACTGGTTTTTGTCTGTAAAGATAATTCTTAGTGGTTGGAGGTGCGGAATAAGCATCGTCCTCCTGTCGGTAAGACTTGGAATGTACTTCCACTAAAGTCATGAGGTGCGAAAAGCCTCAGATGCTGATTGCAGGCATACTGATACAGTAGAAGGGTGTTACCCTAGTCTGTAACGGAAGGAACTTACTTCCAACACCAAGCATTTTTGACGGAGGTATGCGTAGGCACTGCAGCATGGCAGTGAAAGATTCTCCGTCTTTTACTTTGAGCCACATTTCCTGGAAAACTCCCTTCCTCAGGCAACAAAATGTGTTGACTGCCCCGGTTGGTTAATGGTCCTCTGTTTATTGGTCCAAGCTCAGATAGGCTCAAGGGTCAACCGTGACATCCCAAAGTTGGGCCTTTGGCAAACATGGTGAAGACTACCTCAGCTGTTGCGCCCGAGTGAAAGTTAACATATTTGATTCTGGTCCATATTCCGTGAATCTTGAAATGCAAAATACTGTCAAAAGAGATTCCAGAGAACCTTGCCAACACAAGGCCTAAAACTGCCAACTCAAAAGCCCAGGCTTGAGCCACGGGCTATGCCGACATGAAACAGTTCTTCAAGGGATCAACAGAACAACTCCGGCCATACGATCACAGCCTCTTCCCAAACTTGGCCCTTCTGAAACTGATCGCCTCATCGGATACTTGGTACCCCAATTGACAACCCCGGGTTCGCTTCTGGTCCTCGCCCACCCGGCAGTCCAAATTAGCTTCCTGAAAGGTGACTCTGCAGTGAGTAGAGGAATGTTGAGGAACCCAATATGACACTCCTCCCAATGGGATTTCAAAAACTCGCGTATGCTCGGTGTTGAATCCAACATGATTTAACCTCTGAGTGGGAGTCCAACAGCTTAAATATACTCCGAAGGTCCCCAAAAAGGCACTGGTTTTTCTCGGGGCTGTGAATGTCTGCATCCCGAAACCAAGGCGCATCCGTAGACTTGGGCTTCACCTCCTTCTCGAAGTCGTGCCACGAGATGTTCGGCACCTGCCGTTTCGGACAAAGCGCAAGGTGAGCGGAACCTGGCAACCGCGGAACCGAAAGTCATCCTGTTTCTTGTTTAGGTGGTGTCAAACATGAAACCTCCCTGCTTCACCGGGGTTTAACGAATCCCAAATGAAACTAATCATGTTCTGTGTTCGGAAACGCTGTATCTCGACACGTAGGGGGATTCCCTTTGACACATGCCCACGATAAAGCTATCAGCCCCTGCCAGTCGAGAAGTGACCCCAAAAGGGGCGCAGTCGTTTGACCAGCAAGCAAGCTCATGCAACTCCAAGGAAACGGTCTGCTGAAATTGTCAAGAACGCTTTCTTGGAGTAAAACTACTTACCAGGCGCAACAATGAACACCATAGACAACCCTTTTTGGAAAGAATCAAACAGCCTACGTGCCAAGGTTTCCTGCCAGTGCCTTTTGGAGCCCCAGTTGAACATCCGCTCACTGCCTTCAGGATTAAAGCTGCCGCTGTGACTACTTTTGGTAGCAAAAGCCCGAGCCGATTTGCTGAGTTCAAATTACTATTCACGCACCTGAAATCAGGAAATCAGTCAACATCATGGCTAACTTGTCTGTTGGCAAACGCATGGTGGGTGCATATGTGTCAACATCCAGGATCCCCAATCTACCCAAAAACAGGTGCCCTCAAGAGAATGGCACACCCAGAGGCAGCGATTTTCTCCCAAAGCGGGTCCTCTACGACCTAAACACGGCGGCAAGTGGCTGATGCATCCAACCCGTGGCGCATGGGGAACAGCAGCGCCTCAGCTGTCTACAGCTAATGTCTGTGAGGCCTAGACATTGACTTCCTGGTCCGCTGACCGCGAACGGTTTGGACTCCGCCGCCGCCATTTGCCATGGCTCTTGCCCGTCTTCTAGGGAGAACTTCCCCATTCTTTCAAAGGATCCTTCTCCGAAAACTGAGGATTGGGAACAGCTGTTGATTGAAAGAACGATGG